ATATATATATATATATATATATATATATATATATATATATATATATATATATATATATATATATATATATATATATATATATATATATATATACAGACACGTTTTTTTATATATACTTTATTTATTTTCGACAAAATTGCAAAAATGATCCCTATGGTTTGCCGATTTCTATGGGTAAGGTCCAAAAAAAAGTTTGCTAGCAAAAAACGTCCTTATTTGATGTTTGAGCCGTGGATTTGGTCCCTGCTTCTAACTGCCGTTAGAGGCATTCCGTTTTCTTCCCCACGTGCCATGCACGCGAGGGTATTTTTGTCTTTTCATTTATGGGACCAAAATTGCAATCTAATTTCTCTATTTAACATCGACTTAAACCCATCTTCCCCAACGACTCTCTCTGTGAAAATGGTAACGATCATATGCTTTTGTGACAACAATTATGTGTTGCGTACATCGTGGACTCCACTCAATCCATGCCGACGGTTCTACGCATGCCATCTACCGGTAAAGTAGCGTTCTAATATTTGCCATCAAACACCTTATTGTTGCCCTAATTTTGTGTGCTTCAACTTTGAAAGGACTCAAAATGTCGATTCCTTGGATGGTTTGATCCTCTAATGTGTGATCGTGCTAAGGCTATCATTCCTGGTCTACTGAAGAGCATGAACAATTTGAAGCTTTCAGTGAAAGAGTTAGAAGATGAAATTCAGAATTTGAGGTTTTACCTGAAGATGACAGTGAAAGAATTAGAAGATAAAGTTTGTAAATTGAAGTTCTACTTGTGGTGTAGTTGGATTTTTTTCTTGTTTTCTGGATGTGGAATTAGGGATTAGGGTTAAGTTCTACCTATGGTGCTAAGGTTTTTTTGGGATCTTATTGTTTTGATGAATAGGCCTTTGTATATTGTAAGGGTCATTTCATGAACCTTGTACCTCGAATTATAATGTATGGAATATTATCTTATTTAATTGTTGTTATTATGGAGATTATAATGGTAATACAATACAGGAAATGGTATTAAGAAAAATACAATACCATTTTGGAACTTACTAAGTGCTATTGAATCATAAGATATAATCCAAATAAGTCAATGCAAATTACAATACCATTGCACATAACCAAAAGCAATTGTCATTACAATATGCAAGTGTAACAAAAAAGAAGCAACCACATGAGTTTTGGAATTGCAAAATAACTTAACATACTAATAACTGTTAAAACAACCAATACATGGGAGTTTCTTAAACAAATTAGACCAAAAGATGATTTAACAACTTAACATTACACTTGACCATACAAACTACTCTTGATCATGACCCTCATTAGCTCCTCCACCCTCTTGTTGGCCTGCACCTTGACCTTTACATGTCCTTTTGTTGTGTCCTTTTTGTTTGCATTTACCACATGTGACACTCCCAAATTTCCTACTAAGCTTCTCCACTTCTTTGGATCCTTGAGTTTGAATTTGACTTGCTATCACACTTTCAATTTGACTGGACTTTTCCTTTTGGCTCATTCTCTCCTCCATGGATTGTCTTCTTTTCTTCTTTGGCCTGCCAGACATTTTGTAGTATGGAGGTGGGATAATTCTAGTAGGACAATCACTTTTAGGCCACATTGCCCTACCTTTTATTGGTTCAAATTTAAAGTCACACACAACCTTCCAAGTATCCAGTAAATAAACTTTGTGTACCCAAGTGTACAGCTCCCCTACCATTTCCCCATTGTCTGTCATCTCACTCCAAGTGGCTATGGCATGCCTACAAGGGATTCCTATCAACTCCCACTTCCTACATGTGCATATCATCTGGCTAATGTCCACAACATGTTGATCATTCCATGGTCCAGCTACCTGATACTTTCCACCACCATTCTACTGGTGGTTGTCGAGGCCAACACAAATAATAACCCTAAATGTTACACACTAAAATAGTGTATAGTGGTAAAGGGATCGAATCCACGGAGATTGGTTCAATTTCTAACTCTATGAAAAATCTCTTTGTAAAAATACATGTAAAATAACAATAAAAATAAAATGGGGGGTTTTGGTGTTTTGAATACTTGATGCTAACTAGAATTAACTATGATTTAAATAGACAATTGCAACAAAAATAAGAATTTGATGTAAAATCAATAAGGGAAAGATGGTTGACTTAAAGTTTTCTCACTTTGACTTTTGATGAACATATCATTAGAGTTTAATGGTGCAATACTTGTTTTAAATCCTCAATTTGACTATAGTAATCCAAGGAGCTTGAGATTACCTAGACTTTTCTTAATTGTTGAAATGGCTAGAGAAGCTCATAACAATTTCCTTAGTCAAAGTCACTAATTCCAAATAGCATGTAATTAGTGAAAGTCAACTAGCATTAAGAACCAAAAAGTCACCAAATCCAAGAGGGGTCAAATGCTTTCACCACCATGTTGGAGGAAATGTTTTTATGATTGTGTGAAGTAAAATCAACACAAAAATCATTTGTTGCTTGCTAATTTGAGGATCCTTTACTTAATCAAGAAATTAGCCAACTAATCACCACAAACACATTTAAACTCATGAACTAAAACATACAAGTAATGATAAGATGTTAAAACACAAAACATTTCCATAAAGATTCAAGAACATGTTCATGGACTCTTCAACATTCAACAAAAGTTCAAAGGATTAAACAAAAGTCAACCAAGATTAGTTTAGCCAAGCATGGCTAAACACAAAGAAACAAAGTTAGAGAAATTTGTACCAAACATTAAGCAAGAATCAAGAGGTAAAAATATGATGTTCTTCAAGGGTTCTTGGCCTTCAAAAGTCTCCAAAACTCCAGAGAGAATCTCCAAAAATCGGATGTGCAAGTGTATGCAAAAGATGGGCACCAACCTTCCTCAAATAGCTCAAAAGAAGGAATTCCGAAATTGCCCCTGCAGGGCCTTGCGCGACCCGCGTGCTGCTGCGCGGGTGGGTTGCGCGGGTGATACCTGACATGGGCTCCTTTGAGATTTTGGGCCTCTAAAGCATATCCCACTAGCCCAGATCGAATCCAATCACCTCCTAGCCCATTTTCTTCAAGTTTTTCTTCATTTAAAGCCCAATTTGACCTCTCTAAATCCTCCAAAGCTCGTGAACTCGCCCGATTAATAATTTTCATACGCTTGAATGTTCCCCCGCATCTTTCAAATTTAAAGCTCAATTCTTCCAAGCCTTCAAGCAATTGACAAGTCCACCCCATGAATCACCTTCATAGCCATCAAGCATGAAATCTCCAATCCCCTTCAAGCCCAATCGCCTCGCAAGAGTGCCGCCCCGCTAGTTTCCAAGAAAATCTGCAATAATGCTCAAGAAACTAGAAAGTACCCCGAAATGATCATAAAAATAACAAAAGGGAAAATATGCATGAAAGTTAACTAAAATGCAAATGAAATGTACTAAAATAAACTATAAAAATAAGTAAATAAAATGAAGCTATCATCTACCTTGCAATATACTTAGCTGCTTGTTGCTCATTCTTCTTTAACAACTTGGTTGCAGTAGGTGTGAGAGGACCTTGGCATTTCCTTTTCTCTTTTACCATTCAGAACTTCACACATGTTATTTAGAAGCACGTCTGAGATGGCTCTACCTGCAGAATCCATAATTAAAATCATGGGCCAATAAAAAATAGTTGCATATCAATTAATAAGATCAATTTTGTTTACCTGTAAAATGGCTTCTTGCCCAATGCATTGGTGGTATTTGATTTAACCAATCATGTGCAGCCCTGTCATATTCAGCTAACTCCCTCATTGTAGATTGAAACTCTTGAATTGTGGTTGCTGTTGCACACCTCTAAATAAACTCCTTGAACTCCCTAGCTCTCCATTGTTTCCTCATGTTTTCATGGATGTTTCTTAAACAATACCTATGCTTTGCATTTGGAAATAATTGTGCTATAGCAGGTATCACACCCTAAAAAGTAAATATAAGATTGAATCAATACATGTTAATTATAATATTGTAAAGGCATTATGCATACAAAAAGAATTACATTTTTCCTATCACTGATAAATGTGAAGTTAGAATTAGACCCCATCTCCAAATCATCCCCTAGACATTCCAAGAACCATTTCCAACTTGCAGTATTTTCAGATTCTACTATGGCATATGCAAGTGAATATATACCATTGTTGGAGTCTAAGCTTACAGCTGTCAATATTTGCCCATGACAATGGCCTTTCATAAAGGCACCATCTAGACCAAGAAGGTCCCTCATACCAACTTTAAACCCCAACTTCAGTGGGCTTAAACATATGTAAATTCTCTTAAACTGCCTAGTGGCCAAGTGCGGGTTAGGTTTACTTACAACATCTATCTTCACTATGGTGTTTGGATTGGTGGACTGTAATTTGAGTGCATAATCTCTAAGCAAGTCATACTGCTTTGAGTAGTCCCCAACAACATTCTTTGTAGCCCTTGCCTTAGCCCTAAACATCTTATGCTTTGAAATCCCCACTGAGTACGTCTGCTGAAAGTCTTCTTGTAAGGATCGAATCGGAACTGTGGGGTTTGATTGAACTTATCTAGTAATATGTTTTGCAAGAAAAGTGGTTGTGCAAGCTCAAATTTTCCTTGATTGAAGGCAAGTGTGCTTCAGACTGTACGTTTTCACATACCAATTCCCATCTTTCGAAGACCTAGATGCATATAAGTGCCAAGTACAAGTGGTTGCTTTTGAATTTACTGCTTTGCCCTTGCCTTTATTTACTTTATCTGCCCCACCTAACGCATGGGACCCACTTGCACCACTTATCCCACCATCCACATGTGGCCCGCTAACATTGGTACCAGGCACAAATCCTTTGCAATATGCCCTTAGTCTTGTTGCATCATTCTTTTTAAAAACAAGATTCCTCCTTGTTTCAAGTGCATGCTCATCCACTTTATTCTTAAGATCTTTCTTTGACTTCCACATCTGTCCCACATAAAAACTATATTTATGCACCTCACCATGTGAACATACTTTCTCCTTACCCAATCACTTTAATAGAACCCTCCTGTTCTTTTCACTATCAGAGTCTTCTCCTAATGACTCCCATCCATCACAATCAGTTACTTCAAGGTCTTCTTCTTCATATGTGTCTTGTTCTTCTTCTACATCATTCTTAAACCCAAACCCTGAATACTCCACACCTTCATCAATGTTCATTCTAAAGTCACTCATGTCAACATCAATGTCATTAACTTCATTGTCTACATCTACTATAACATCACTATCAGAATGACTATCAGGATCACTATCATCATCACTATAATCATCTTCACCCTTTTCTGAATTGAACTCGTTTGCTTGACCATCAAATAAACCTCCATTATCTTGATCAAAGTCTTGATATTCACTACCAAGGTGGTTTTTTGTAGGGTCTGTTCTGTTGTTGTTTTCACTATCATGTAACCCTTCAAATGGATCAAAGTTTACATTCAACATTTCAGATAAACCAATTGGTAAATACACAGTTGCTGCATCAAGCTCATGTTTTTGTTGTACTTCCTTGTCTTGACTATCTCTTGTCACACTTGATGATGCTTCCTTGTCTTGATTATCTCTTGTCACACTTGATGGTGCTTCCTTGTCTTGCTTATCCGTGATTTCACTTGATAGTGCTTCCTTGTCTTGATTATCCCCAATTTCAGTTTCCCTGTATAACCTCTTAGAACATGACCTAGTACCCTCTCTTGGCTTCCAATTTCTTGTTCTCCTCATTTCTGGCGAAAGTGATTTTGATTCACCTCCATAAACCACAAGTGGTAATGATGAACTACAACTTTCATGTTGGGGATCATGAAATAGTTTTTGTTTTCTTTGTTTTGGTTCAATTGCCACTTCATCTTCTTCGTTTAGTTCTTCAATGACAACACCATTTCTCTTATTTGGTGACATGAAGTATGTAACCAAGTTGGTTGTGCCATGCTCAGTATACACCTGGATCACCTTGTTTGCTCCAGTATATTTAGCTAGGTTACACACATCTTGAACATTACCTAGAGCTCTAAGGCCAAAAATCAAGTCTTCATTGGGAATCCTGAAGTGATAATATATTACTGGGGGAACCACATATCCTAGTTCTAGCATCATAGCGTCGAGTTCATGCACTGAAAACTCATCTATATAAACTAAATCAATATACGTAAGTTTCCCCTTAACATATCTTACATTTGGAAAAGGTGTGAACTTCCCACCATGGCGAAGTTCAATCGTGAACAAATGGGGATGACAAACTATCCCAAACAACAAAAAATACAAAATGTAGTTAGCATATTGTGTGAAATTTCAAAAAAATTTAAGTTTAAAAAGCTATAATGGCACTTACCATACAAATCTAGTGCATCAAACCCCATCGTCGAAGGACGTATAGTCCACAATGAATGCACCATTTTTTCCTTCTATCTACTGGACTGCAGTTTAGCTAAAGAAAAGATTCGGGGTGGAAATCGTTGACTTAGGGTTTGAAAGTCAATGGAAATTGAACGAGGAAGAAGCTGGAGTGTCTGATGTTTTTGGGCATCGTTAAATGTGCGGTAATAGATGAGCATTCCCCCCATTAATGAAAGGACAAAAATACCCTCACGTGCATGACACGTGGGGATGAAAACAGAATGCCTCCAACGGCAGTTAGAGGCAGGGACTAAATCCACAGCTCAAACATCAAATAAGGACGTTTTTTGCTAGCAAACTTTTTTTTGGACCTTACCCACAGAAATCGGAAAACCACAGGGACCATTTTTGCAATTTTGTCTTTATTTTCATTTTTTAACTTTATTTTTCAAATAATTTGATTTTTTTTTTTTTACCTTTTTATCTTTTGTTTTCTATTTTTTTAGTGTATATATAGAGAATATTATAGTATTTTTTGTTTTTTTATATTTCTTTTCGTATTATATTTTAAGTTTTTCTACTTTTTTTATGTTTTTAATTTTTTTCTTATTTGTTTTCCAATTATTTGTTTTTATTTTTTGTATTTTTAACTTTTTATTGACATTTTTCATAAAATTTAAAATGTATTAATATATTAGAATATATTACAATTTTGATAATTTATAGTTTTTGTAATTTTTTTATTTTTATTCAAGTAAATAAAATAGTTATATTTATATTTGTAATTTTGGTCCAACTTATTTTCATTTTATTTTATTTTCGTTCTTTAGTGCTATTATATTTATGTTACAAAAAAATGAAAAAAATAGTCTTTTTTATTTAGAATTAGTGTTTTAATGTGTTGTGATATAACTTGCAAATTAAATCATATTTCTATATGTGATATCAATAGTTTAAATTCAAGATAATATTTCATGATAATAGACTAAAAAGAAAAACAAAATAATAATAATAATCGGTCTCTATAAAAAAAACTTGTTATAGTAATTTATATTTAATCAAGTTGGTTTATTTGAATTAAAATAAATAAAAACATTATAAAAACCATAAATAACTAAAATGTTAAAAAAAACAAAAGGTAAAAAAAAATCAAATTGTTTAAAAATAAAGTTAAAAATGAAAATAAATAAAGTATATATAAAAAAAATTAAAAAATGTATATATATTTATAAAAAAAAACGAAAATAAATAAAGCATACAAAAAGCGAAAAATAAACTTGAAAAACCATGTGATGTAATTTTTTATGAACCCTAGGGACCAAATTTGAACATTTTAGGATTAATTTTGCAAAAACGCTAACCATAAAACTCGTTAAGTGAGTTAGAATAATAATTCTGCGAGAAAGTTGTGGTCATATCAATAAAAGAAATATTAGGGCTTTTATAATATTAGTTATTTTTTTTGAACTCTAATAAGTCAATAAACACTTTTGTCTGTCAACACTTTTAGGTGTTGTTTGTTTTTTCTGAAGCAAAATATTTGCAGTCTGCGGACCATATCTGCAGACCTCTACAGTAAAAGAGGTGGACCAAATGTTTGTAGTTTGAAAGAAGAAGACTTTGTTTTTTTAACATCTACAGATTGTTAGAATAAACTAAGGTATTGTTTATTTTTTGTGTGCACATCTTCTTGGCATTTTTTTTTGTCTGTGTCACAAAGACCACGTATAGACATTAGCCTTTGCAGACTGTTTGTTTTTTAGAAGACTACATACCTAAAAATGTATGTTTGTTCTTTTCCTAGCACAGATATAGACAAAAATCTTCTAACATTTTCTGACATCTTCTAGCCTTAAAAAACACATATATCTTTGTTTTTTTACAACTTAGATTTATTCCAAATTTATCTATGGAAAACAATTTGAAAATAAAAATACAATACTTTAAGAAAAAAGGTTTGAAAACAAAAACATGACCTTGTGACAACTTTATAAATAAAAATTTAATTACAATAATGGTTGTTATAACTGTTTATATAGATATAAAAAAAATCATAATATTATGTTATATTTTTTTGTCAAATTTTATAAAACATTATTTAATGAAGTATCATCCATTTCTTAGGAAAAATATTTATAGTAAGTTTTTAATTGATTTAATTGAAAAAGTAAAATGAAAATTTTCATTTTAAAATCGAATTTTATTTCCATCTATTTTATGTAAAAAATTATTTGATCCATGATTACAATGTTTATATATGACTATGCAACCAAAACTTGTTGGCTTTTATAAAAATATACACATTAATTCGTATAATTTTATTTTCACTTTTATACAATAATATACATAAAAGTTGATCTGTATTTGTTAATCGGCTATAATAAAGTCATAAAAGTATTGAAAAATCTGTTAATGTAAAAAAAATCATTTTATTTAGATTTTAGCAGTCTGCATATGTTAAAAAAACAAACAATTCTTTTTTTTTTTCAACCTGCAGACGTTTGGTCCACCTCTTCTACTACAGGGCTATGCAGATGTGGTTCGCAGATTGCATACATTTTCCTTCAAAAAAAAAAAAAAACAAACACCACCTTATAATGGTGGTAAAATGTTTTTTTTTTTTAAGTTTAAAAAAAATCAGTAAGTCAATAAGTTAAAAGGTGTTTGGATTAAAAACTTATTTTTGAAGTTATTTTGGTTAAAAAATCATACTTTTTCAAAATGCTTTTCAAAAACAACTTTTTGAAGCTAATATAAAAGTCATTCTCAAAAGTACTTTTGAGTTTATCAAACACTTTTTTTTTTTATTTATTGGCTTTTCAAAAAACCAATAAATCAATAAACTGTTTTGAAAATCAATCTTAAACACTTTCTTAAAACATCAAATCTTTATTGGGTTATTTCTCATGATATATATATATATATATAGACTTATTGTAAATTTACAATTCTTTATTAACATTATAGAGTTTTTTCACCATTTTTTAATATTAAATTTATATTTCTATAGTTCTTTGTTCCGTTAAAGTTTCGTGGAAAAGAACTACAGTGTTTTTATTTGGCGATAGAGAATATATTTTTTTTTGAAAAAGTCTTTTGTTGTAAATGGTTTTATTTTTTTCGCTCCAAATAAAATTATAGTTTTAATGTTAGATTTTTGTGCGCTGGCTACAGTATTTTATTAAAAAATGGCCACCAATACTATGGAAATTACTTAGGATTTGTTGGTACATAAGACTAGACGGGATAGTATGGAACAAAAATATTGAAGGTAGTGTTCTGGGATAAATGGGACAATGACTAGATGGAAGAAAGACTTGGGTCTCGTTTGATAATTGCTCACTGAGAAAGTGTTGACAGACAAATGTCTGTCTGAATAATAAATTCTGACTAAATAAGAAAGCATACTGTTTGATTGTACATATATGACTAACTGTGTTGATTGATGAGAAATGATCATTTTACCCTTCTGGTGTATCCAATGGATGAAGTTGTTGAATAATTATAAAAACATACAACTTGTGATACAAAATGTAAATATACAACTACTTTATCAAGATCAAACTCAACAAGAAAATATATGTATGAATTTAATAACATAAATAATCTCCCTTTACAAAAACTATGATGTTCTAAGTTTGAATCCAACAAATACAGGAAGTACTATCAAATCAATTAACTAACCGACAAATCAAAGTAGTATAACAAATTCTGCACCAATTATATTATGATATTAGCAAATTTTGCACCATTTTCTCTTTCAAAAAATAAAATTTTTGCACCAATTTGTTTTTCAAAAAAAATATGCACCAATTTCTCTTTCAAAAAAATATCTTGCGTCAATTTCTCTTTCAAAAAAGCAAATAGAGAAAAATAAGTAAATAGAATATCATATTTAACAATCTACATCAGATTTATAACTGTAGATAGACCAAAAAAACAACCAATAATAAACATAAACAACTAGGAATAACAAACATGATCAAATCAGCAACAAATCGGAACAGATGCAGCAGAAAATCGAAACAAAAACAGAAAAAACATTGGAAACAACGCAACTGAGGGAAGAGGGAGAAGTCACCCCTGATGAAAAAGAAACAAAAATCGTCGACTGGTTGGGGTGTAGAGGCTGAAATCATCGATCGGTAGGGCAGAGGTTCAAGTCGTCGATGGTTGAAAGATAGAAGAAACATGATGGAAGCGCTTAAACTTCGAACGTAGGTTAAGGGCACTTCTATAAATCGTCTCTTTCTTTCTCAGTCAATAGATATTGCTTATCTGTTCCACTCAGACATCTCTTACCGAATCAAACATCAAAAATATGTTTAACAAACGCGTTTTGCTGACCGAGTTAGCCAAAAATGTCTAACCCAACTCGGTCAGACGTATATCAAACAGGACCTTGGTCAAATGGGACTAAAATTCAAAATATTAGTCCCACCCCAAAATAGAGGTGAGAAAAACCCCACCGCACCGCAACTAAAATTAATCGTAAAAACCGCATAAACTGCGACCGATAAACAACAACTGCAGTAAAAACCGATGGTGAGGTTTTCTATTTTTAAAAACCGCAAATTTGTCGTGCGGTGCGGTTATTAGTTTTCAAAAACCGCAAAAAAAACCGCATTGCACCGCATATATTATATACAATTTTTTATTAATTATTAATATATTAAATATTAAAAGTAAGACAAGTTTTACGAATGAAAAAATGATAAAATTCTAAAGACAAAAGTGTTGCTTTTTGTTATGTTTAACTTTAGAAAATGGTGAAATTGACAATTTTAAGATATTTATTGTTAATTACTAGTGATTTGACGTTTTTAAGATATTAGTTGTTTGTGATTTAAGTTAATTGTCTTATTATTATTATTATTATTATTACAAGTAATATGTATGAACTCTTAAACCCGTTTGAACTCTAAACTACGGTTAAAAACCACACAAAATAACCACACCAAATCCATGCGATTAATAACTGAAACATGATGAGTATTCGATAAATTTGGTTCCCATTTCTTTACGTGGGAACAAGGTTATTATGGGTATGGATTGGCTG